CGCCTCCTACGACTGGCGTGACTACATTCGCCTGAGCCCGGTCGGCGACCAGGGCAACTGTACGGCCTTCTACGCCTTCACGACGGCAGCGCTAACCGAGGCCGCCCATGCCATTTACTACAACCAGCAAGACTTTGTTTTATCGAAACAGCAGCTAGTGGACTGCACCAATCGGGCAAACAACCCCATCACGCCTAATTACAACTTTGGCTGTGCAGGCGGAAGTATCGGCCCCGCTTTTCAGTACCTGATCAGTCACGGAGTGGTTGAAGAGAAGTACTACCCTTATGTTGATAATGTAAGTAATTTTTTTCAGTAAGTTTTTACCTCATTTTTACTTGCATAAATCATTTTAGGACAAAGGAAGCTGCAAGGCATCATCGCTGTTCTTTCTGCCCTCTTACAAAATCACCGGCTACGAAGGTTTGCCGACAAACACAAACGACACTGCCATAATGGACGCTATCTTCACCAAGGGGCCAGTGCTGGCGTACATCTACTCAAACAATAAAGTGTTTAAAAATTACAGGTAACAATGTGATTTTGCAACTAAAATGTTGTACATTACAAAAGTGATATGTTTTTCAGCGGCGGCATCATTCGAAATCTGTTTCCCAACTCGACGTTCTTTGACCATGCGATTGTCATCGTTGGCTGGGGCACATCAAGTGACGGAGTTGACTACTGGATTCTGCGCAACAGTTGGTCGACTAGTAAGTGCAAAAAAAATCTTTTTTTGAGCAAAAACTCAAAACAATTTTCAATATTTAGATTGGGGAGAGCAGGGATATGCTCGATTGGAGCGTCATCACGGCCTGATTGGCATCAATCAGTACGTCTATTACGTTAAAATGTAAACGCTGTTTTTGCCCATCTTAAATGACAATTTTGGGTTTTTGGAAAATAAATAAAAACTGAAAAAAAATATTACTTAACATTTTTTGCTCACCTTGAAATGAGGTGTACAAAAACCAATGTGCACTTGGTTACTGATGGAAAATAATTGAAGAAAGAAAGATATTTGCTAATGATGACTATGACAAAAATCAGATCGTTTTTTCTTTTTCTATTAGCAGAACAGAATTTTGCTGACAAAGAGGTAATTGCACTGAGAAGTCAAGGGCTGTTTTACCGACTTTGTAGACGGTACAAAAGGCAAAAATTGTTGTTTTAATTAGCATGATTTTTCAATAATTCAATGGAAAATTTGGTTTCATTAATTTTTATTTTTCTGTCTTGTGGGTGGATTCTGTCCAGTCATTCATTTGTGATCATTGTTTTATGTAATGTAATGTACCTTTTTGTTACAGTTCACAGTTTGAAAAGCTTTAGACTAATTTGCAATGCAAATGACAACTATCAAGCAGACTAATAATAGATGATAAAAATTATTGATAATGGTTCAAGTGTTCAAGGACAGGCGACTTTTCAATACTGCACATTTCACAATGATGGTAATCAGAATTTTTGCTGAGATTTGGATGATAAATAGGTAAATGTAAACAGTCAGTTGACTTTTCGTATAAAAACAACTACTTTTCCTTGTGATTAGATTACACAAGACATCATCAGCATTGTCTAATCAACTGTACCCGTGTCCACGATTCTCTCTTGATACCCCTCTGTATTACATGTTTACAAATTGCAATTACAGTTTGCTCTTTTTCCACACTACCCCATCAACATCATTTTCACATTTTAACATTAAACATTGGAAGAAGAAGAAAAAGAAAAAGAAGAATGACTTCTTTGATTGAATCCGCCGGTCATGACATTATTAGCAGCATCTGCACTGGCCATGCCCTTGATGAGAAGACAGGATCACTGAACCGAGGATTTGGCCTTCTGACGGCGATCTTCTTTGTCATGGGCGACGTGGCAGGCAGTGGAGTACTTTCCGTTCCAGGAGCTATTGCCAAAACAGGTAAGTGAAGTTTTCTAATTAAACTTTGATTAACAACTTAAATATTCGGTTTAGGTTGGTCGGGTTTTGCAGTGCTCGCTTTCTGCGGCGCCTGTACGACAGTGGCCGGCCTATGTCTGTCTCACAGTTGGATGCTCCTCGAAGAGCGCTATCCGCAGTACAAGTACGGGTTGACTAGAAAGCCGATGGCCACCATTGGCTACCACGCTTTTGGGCGGCCCATGAGGTAAAACTTTAAACAAGCTCATTAAAAAACTTAACAAATTAACACTATTTCGCAATGCCCACCACAATCAGCACCGCCCTCTCCTGTACAGTGTACTTTGCAAAGATCGGCGGCTCTGCCATTTACCTGATGGTCGCTGGGAGTATGCTCAAATCACTGGCATCCAAGTACCTCGATTTCAGCCTCTGTGCCTGGAACCCCATAGTGGCCGCCCTCCTCCTGACGCCCCTCTGGCTCAAATCGCTGGCCGACTTTTGGCTGATCAGCTACAGTGCCGTCTTCTCGGCGACGGCCACCGCCGTGCTCATAATGATTGATCTCGCGCTGAGTTTATCAACGGAGGAGGCAAAAACAGAATTAGATACCAAAGTTAGCGAGCCCTTTCAAATTAAGAGTTTTGAGGAGTACGCCAGCGCTTACGGGCTGATGCTCTTTAGCTTTGGCGGAGCGGGAGTCTTTCCCAACATTCAAAATGAAATGCGCAATCGGCGGCATTTTTGCTGGGCGGTATTGGCT